TTTCACGTGGCAGGAACTGAATAAAGTAACCTACGACAGGAACTTAATGAACAATTAACAGAAGTGCTCCCTTCCTTGTAAATTAGAGATCCGAATCAATAAAAAGAATGACGCTTTAGTAGTACTCCCTCCGTCCCAAAATTCTTGTCTTAGATTTGTCTAGACTTGATACATCCGTATTTAGGCAAACCTAAGACAAGAATTTTAGGCAAATCTTAGACAAGAATTTTGGGACGGAGGGAGTATATATTCATGGTACAGAACAAGTTAGGCCCTGGAAAACACAGCACCCAGAAACTCATACTGTGCAAGTGTTACATGAGGCACAAAACTGAAAACTCTCTGGCAAAAAGCCTACATGTTAAAGCAGACATTGTACAGTATTTATTGAATTCAGCAACAGAAAGGGACTAAATTGCAGAAAAACACCAACAAAACAAGCATTGAGGCACTAATCAACAGAAAAAAGGAAAGTACTGGCACACATACAAAGCAAACAGAGCAACGCGAAGCAGAGACGGGTTGGCACCAACAAACAGCATAGTGAATCAGACGATTTCTTCCCCTATGCCATCACTGTCATGGTAACTGGCAGATTGACCTTCGGCATGTTCTTCTTCAGCAGCACCGCCATTTGATCGTGATGGACCAGCTGCTTCCTCTTGTGCTGTGGAGTCCCTGCTGACACCAGAACCTGATGGGATGTCCCCATGCTGTCCTCCGTTGCCACGAAGATGATCAGCCCTCTGCAGTTTGTCTGCCAAAGTCTCCATCCCCATGTAGTACTGCAGCAGCCAGACATAGGTCAGGTACTCCACACCCGTGGCCAGACCCTTGGCATGCAGGTATCCTCTGCATCTAGCGGCAGAGAAGCACAACTTCTCCACCCACACGCCTTCGATCACATCCCACATCTTCCCTTCAGGCAGACCCGACAGCACTTTGAAAATACCCCAAGCGTCGCGGATAATGCCCCCCTGTTGCTGCTGGGTATCATCTGAAGGTGAAGATCCTCCTTCATCATCCAGTGCAGCGATTATCCCCAGCGTAAGCTCTCTTTCCTTGGGAGGTTGCTTGTCTCCCTGGATAATGATGCCCTTCAGTTCTTTGTAGGCCGCTGTGAAAAGGTTCCTTCTGGTACCTGCCATTAGCATCTCAGGATTCACAAACAGTAGGTACATCATGTAGTTGGACATTTCTCTGCACCGGACAGCCCTCTTGTGATGATCAGACTTTTGGCACCAAGCAGGACATGAGTCTTGCGTGCACTGATACCCATGGTGAGAACGAGATGCACCCTTGTCGTAGTAGCAGAAATCCGTGGCAAGATGCCAGAGAAGAACACTCTCATCGAATGCACCCTCTAAGCTCCAGCCCGTTCCTGGTAGCATCCTTGGTGCTGAAGAGTAAACTGGCCCCTATTGTCATTGAATTTTCTGTAACTAGAAACATCTTTGATATGGTGCTCCCACCCATCTTTCACATACTGGAGCACTAACCTTGTAATGCTGAAGGATGAGGAGCAAGACTTCATCCACCAATGTTGGTGAAGGAAGTCGTCACATCGCAAGAATCCCATGATGCTCATAAGACTGGGATGCTCTTTATTGCGGACAAGCAGTCCTATAAGGCTGTATTGGTAAACCATATCATCATACATAGACTTGACTAGTTTTGATAACCTTGAACTTCCTTCTTGGGTCCTTGCGTTCATGTTTAGGGCACTGACCCAATACTCCAGGACAGCGGTACATGCGAGCAAGGCATATGTAACCTTGACATCGTCTTCACTACAAGCTTCTCTGTGACTCAGGTGGAAGAGCGCTATGGCTGCAAATGAAAGGTGCACAACTATTGCACGGACAACTACCCCGAAAAAGAAACCAGGTGAGGGTTTCATTACTCTGTACAAATTGGCCGTGGATCTGGCTCTTCTGAGCATGAAACCAGAGAACACCTTTTCTTTGGTGTAGAGTAATTGGAAGGTCTCCGAGATGCAAGACTGCAGCGTACGATATGCACGGTGGTCATCAAGTGCTGAGAAGGACCGTAGCATCCTGATCCGATCATCAACAGAAGGAGATGCAAGGTCCACAAATAACTTATACCGAGTATGATCCGTCAGTGTTAAAAGGTGGTCATTGGGCCCGGCAGGACTGATTGCCTTGTCAATGAAATCTTCAAGCGGATCAATCTTGAGCTTATGTGTGTGTATTGACCTCCAAATAGGCTCACCGGAGCTCACCAAGCTGTTAATGCTAGCTCTATATATTGAGAGCCCATGGCTTCTCCAAGCATTTGAGGATACCAGGGATGAAGAGCAATATTGCCGCCTGCAGCAGCCTCGTGTCGTTGCCTGACCATGATTTCCAGAAGACATAGACAGCCACGGTGACCTAAGACACTGAGGTGAGGATGTGCCGCGTCCACAGCTCGTTGTCCTCGATGTTGTAGGCGGTTATGCCGTCCTGTCCACCGAGGTGTACCAGGAGGATAGGCACCCACAACACCTCCAGGATGTTGCTGCCACCATGTCCATCCTCCTGCTGTGGCTTCCGGTGGCGGTTGAAGAGGGTGGCGAGTGCATAGATTGCAATGGCATCGCTCCCAAGGTATGCAAGCCAGATAATAGGTCTAAACGAGGATCTGATGGGGAACTTACGCGCGACAGAAGCGACGAGTAGAACGTACTGAATCACCAGGCTACCAAGGACGAGGATCTGATGGGGAACTTACGCGCGACAGAAGCGACGAGTAGAACGTACTGAATCACCAGGCTCTCTATATATTGAGAGCCCATGGCTTCTCCAAGCATTTGAGGATACCAGGGATGAAGAGCAATATTGCCGCCTGCAGCAGCCTCGTGTCGTTGCCTGACCATGATTTCCAGAAGACATAGACAGCCACGGTGACCTAAGACACTGAGGTGAGGATGTGCCGCGTCCACAGCTCGTTGTCCTCGATGTTGTAGGCGGTTATGCCGTCCTGTCCACCGAGGTGTACCAGGAGGATAGGCACCCACAACACCTCCAGGATGTTGCTGCCACCATGTCCATCCTCCTGCTGTGGCTTCCGGTGGCGGTTGAAGAGGGTGGCGAGTGCATAGATTGCAATGGCATCGCTCCCAAGGTATGCAAGCCAGATAATAGGTCTAAACGAGGATCTGATGGGGAACTTACGCGCGACAGAAGCGACGAGTAGAACGTACTGAATCACCAGGCTACCAAGGACGAGGATCTGATGGGGAACTTACGCGCGACAGAAGCGACGAGTAGAACGTACTGAATCACCAGGCTACCAAGGACGAGGATCCGCAGCTGCCACTCCTCCCACCATTGCAGAGCGCCTAAAACACCCATTAGCTCTCTCTGGACTTGTCCGGCCTCTGACACCCACGAACACCAGCTTAAAATGGTTTTCCTAACGAAATTGGAGGAGCGCAAACGGTAACATCAGGAAGGGAGATTGGGCTCCGTCAACCTTAGTCAAAAGAGACACTCCCCTGCACTCCTTTTTCAGATACCAATGTGCCATCACGTGTACACATGTACTACTACGCGGTAATTAAGGGCTTCTTTTCGCTGGGAAACATGATAATTGATTGAATATACCACTAGTACCAGTGAGGCATCAGATCCACCACCCACCCACCCACCCACGCTTGGATGGGACAAAGTTGCTTACTAAATGTAATCTGTTTGGTATTGTTAATTCGAAAGTACTACCTGTCCTGGGTTTTTTAATGAAATAGTCACTATATATGATAAACATAAGCATGTAAATACAACACATATGTAAGAACTTTCCCCCAAATCATTTAGCAACTGCTTCACACGGACGTATACGTAGCCGAATGTTGCATCAAAGAATGACCAGACAACGGACATCTTTCACTTGACATACCAAACAAAACAGTGCTACACATGGAAATGCAACCATAAGAATGCTCTATAAGTAGCAAGCAGTAAAAAAAAGTTGCATACCTCTCCTGCCTGTATATGATAATGTCAGGTTTAAATTTTTGTCGCTGCATACAGATACAGTGCCTTGTTTATCAAATCCTTGCCAAGTTAGTAAACTGAGACCATGTAATTCTGTCACCTCAAACAAATGTGTCGCAAGTTAACATAGGTAGCTCTTTTGACAAATCTGCATGAAAGAAAGCCCCATCTTTCCCACAGCGGGTGAGAGACAAACAGAACTTAATTATCTTGTATTCTTGATGCTGACCAATGAACTGCAGTGCTCTCTCCCCTGTAGATTACATATCTAAATCAACAAAAAGAATGATGTTTCAGTAGTATTCAAGGTACATACTGCAGAAAAAGAAGAAGGCCCCAAAAACAGAGCACCCAGAAACTCATACTGTAGAAGTGTTACACGAGGTAGAAAACTTGGAAGCTCTTTGCCAGAAAGCCTCCATGTCAAAGCATACATTGCATAGTCATCACTTTTCAGCAACAGGAAGGGAATTAAGTAGCAGAAATGGCACCGATAAACATGCGTATATAGCAATGCTAATCAACAGGAAAATAAATTAGCACACATAGAATCAAACAGAGCAATGGGAAACAGGGACGGATTGGCGCCTGGAAATATCACTGGAAGTCAGGTGTATTCTTGATGATGACCAATGAACAAAACTGCTCCCTCCACTGTAAATTACAGATCGCAGTCTGCCAAAAGAAAGATGCTTCTTGCTTCCGTTGATAGACTAGACAAAAAGAAGAAGGCCCCCAAAACAGAACACCCAGAAACTAGCACTATTAAGTGTCACAGAAGGTACAAAACTGAAAATCTGGCAGAAAAGCCTCCATGTCAAAGCATAACTCACATGGTCTTTATTGAATTCAGCAACAGAAAGGGAATTAAGTAGCACAATGGCATCAACAAACACACATGGCACCGTGAATCAACATGAAAAGAGTATTGGCACACATAAAAGCAAACAGAGCAATGGGAAACAGTGGCGGATTGGCGCCTGGAAATATCATTGCAGGTTAGACCATTTCTTCCCCTGTGGCGTCAGTGCCCTGGTGAGTGGAGGATTGACCGGCAGCACGTTCTTCGTCAGTGGCGCCACCACTTGATCTTGATGGACCAGCAGCTTGCTCTTGTCCAGTGGCCTCCCTTCTGACACGAGAAGTTGAAGGACCATCCCCGTTCTCTCCTCCGTTGCGATGATGATGATGATGATGATCCGCCCTCTGCAGTTTGTCTGCCAAAGTCTCCATGCCCATGTAGTATTGCAGGAGCCAGACATAGGTGAGGTACTCCACGCCTGTGGCCAAACCCTTGGCGTGCAGGTATCCTCTGCATCTAGCAGCAGAGAAGCACATCATCTCCACCCACACACCTTCGATAACAGTCCACATCTTCTCTTCAGGCAGACCACACAACACTTTGGCAATAGTCCAAGCATCATGGATAATTCCTTTTTTCTGTTGGGTACCATCTGCAGGTGGAGATCCTCCACTATCCAACACACCAATTATCCTCTGAGTAAGCTGTGTTTCCTTCTGGAGACCAGACAACACTTTATTACGGCGGCGTTCTCTTCGCATTGCAGGTGTAACCTCTCTTTCCTCTACCGGTGGCTTGTCTATCTTGATGTCGATGCCTTCCAGTTCCTCATAAGCGGCTGTGAAAAGATTACGTCTGGTGCCTGCCATTAGCATCTCAGGATTCACAAACAGCAGATACATCATGTAGTTGGACATTTCTCTGCACCAGACAGCCCCTTCGTGATAATCAGATCTTTTGCACCAAGCAGGGCATGCATAAACATGAGGACATGAATCTTGCGTGCACCAAGATCCATGGTAAGAACGAGATGCACCAATGTCATGGTAGCAGAAATCTGTGGCAAGATGCCAGAGAAGAACACTCTCGTCGAATGCACCCTCTAAGCTCCATCCCAGTTCCTGGTAGCATCCTTGGCGCTCAACAGTAAACTGGCCCCTGTTGTCATTGAACTTCCTGTAACTGGAAACATCTCTTATGTGATGCTCCCACCCACCTTTCACATACTTGAGCACTAACTTTGTAATGCTCAAGGATGAGGAGCAAGACTTCATGCACCAACGTTGTTGAAGGGAGTTGGTGCATCCCAAGACTCCCACGACCTTCATCATCTTGGAATACTTCCTGTTGCGGATAAAAAGCCCAATAAGGTTGTACTGAGAAACCATATCATCAAATAGAAATCTTAACCTTATCATGTTGTAATGTTCCATGCTGACATGATGCTCTACAGGGTTGCATTGGGAAACCATATCACCATTTTCAAGCCTGGCTGCTGGTAGCTCCGGACTTAATATGACCCTTGTCATCTCCTTTAGGCACATTGTCATCTCCTTTAGGCACATGCCGAAAAACTCCATTGCAGCGGTACAGCATAGCACGGCATACGTAACCTTCACATCATATTCACTATAAGCTTCTCTGTGACTGTGATGGAAGAGGGCTACGGCTGGAAATAAAAGGTACATACTTAGTCCACGCAGACACGTACCAAAAAATACTTGGACTTCTACTCCTTGGTCAAAAGGTGTGTCACCGGTTGAAGATTTCATTTCTCTGATATTGGTGTCGCGGCTAAAGACCACATGCCGGAGAATGCTGGGGATCGTCTTTTCTTTGGTGTAGAGCAGTTGGAACGTCTGAGAGAGCCAATGCTGCATCTTACAGTACGCATCGATGTCATCAAGTGCTGAAAAGGTCAGTAGTATCCTGATCCGATCATCAGCAGAAGGAGATGCATGGTCCACAAATAACTTATAAGGAGTGAAGTCCACCGGCATGGCTGGTGTTAAAAGATAACTATTATCCTCAGCAGAACTGGTTGCTTTGTCAATAAAATCTTCAAGTGGATCAATTTTGAGCTTCTGAGTGTTTATTGACCGCTGAACAGGCTCGCCGGAGCTTACCAAGCTGTTAATGCTAGCCCTGTTGAGAGCCAAGGGCTTCTCGATGCATTTGAGGGTACCACAAATGAAGAGCAATATTGCCGCTTGTAGCAGCCTTTTGTCGTCACCTGACCATGATTTGCAGAAGACATAGACAGCCACAGTGACCTGAGACACTGAGGTGAGGATGTGCCGCGTCCACAGCTCGTTGTCCTCGATGTTGTAGGCGGTGATGCTGTCCTGTCCACCGAGGTGTATCAGGAGGATAGGCGCCCACAACACCTCCAGGATGCTGCTGCCGCCATCCCCATCCTCCTGCTGCGGCTTACTGTGGCGGTTGAAGAGGGTCGCGAGCGCATAGATTGCAACAGCATCACTGCCCAGGTACGCTAGCCAGATGACGGGTCTAAACCAGGATCTGATGGGAAACTTACGCGCGCAGGAAGCAACGAGGAGGATGTACTGAATCACCAGGCTACCAAGGACGAGGATGCGCAGCTGCCACTCCTCCCACCATTGCACAGCACCTGAGACATCCATCAGTTCTCCCTTGATCTCCTCTCTGTCACACACGCACACTAACTAATTATGGTACTGGCTGGTCCACGTATATATGCAACATATAGAAGGAAATCAAGATCTTCGTGGATGTAAAACAGTATAAATGGCTATATGAGCTGTTAATGCAAAAACAAGTAGTCTTTCATCCATCTTTTTGAATCCCGACGTGAAAATGTAAATTCAGATAAAAACATAAACATATGAACTCGAAAGAATATATATACACTGTAAGGCTAAAAGACTGGTTCCAAAAGTGTTCAACAAATCAAGATTGAGATGGAGCACTAACCTGGAAGAAGATTAAGGTGCCCCAGCTAGCTGCTGCTCAGAGAGCACCCAGTCGCAAGCTTGTGTTGCGTCAAAACGAAAACATACAAGTAGGAGAGATTAAGGGGCATACCCTGCTATAAATGAAGAGATCTGTTGACTTTAAACAATTATTAATTAACGAGACCGAAGAGACTCGAATGTAAACAATAAGGAGCGCTTAACAAGACTGAAGAGACTCGAATGTAAACAATAAGGAGCGCTTCCTTTAAGGGTGGGTGATGCACGTGATGGCTACCGATTACCACGTTAAGGGGCACTAGGCTATTATTGGTTAGACAGGGATTAGTCAATGCAGAGATGGTGTAGACCCTCCCTCCAGCGCTGAGCATACACATATACTATTCTTTCATGTCCAGCCATTTCAATTACAGTTTAAATTCAGGCAAGTTGTGTCGGTTGCCTGTGTATGGCAGTTCTCATCGGTGTCAAAACAGCAAGCTATGATAGTTAATGTTATATGGTAAAACAAAACTAGCAATCTTCAGTCAGAGATGCTTGATTTACAACATTATTGGGTAGATGGGGATTAGTCTATTCTGGCAAGTTGTGTTGCTTGAGCTATGTGAAGTTGGCAGTTATCATTCGTTAAGGAGCATGTCAGGATTTTCCCAAGCTTGCAACAAATTTGTCTGAAAAAAAAAACTAGTCTTCAGTCAAAGATGTTTACCATCATGATGCATGATTTACCAAACCAGGGACAGTTAACGGCCTCCAGTAATCTTAAGGGTATGCTTGTTTTACTTTTGAGAATAAGGGCACGCTTATTTTGATGTGGCGCCGCCATGCCACCAAAGCGGTGCCACCAGAAACCTTAATCCTACACGGCTACACCTATCTACAATTCTACAGGTGCTCGAGACTTTGGCCATAAGGGAGGCCCAAGCACTTGCTGGCGATTTATATACACCCAGGATCTTCATTGCATCGGATTGTAAGGTTGCAGTGGATGCTATCAAAGAAGGAAGCAGTGCTAACTTTGGTTCACGAAATAGCACCAAATCATCCAGATAACCTAAATATAATTGTTTAATTCTTTCTTTTTGCAGCTATTTACTGTTTAATTATTTCTTTTTGTTTGGTGTTTCTTTCTCATTGATTTGTGGGAAGAGCAACCTATGGCATTCAATATTTGATTCACAATGAACAAGAGGAAGAAGTATCGGCACACACTGAACCAAACAAAGAAATGGAAAGCAGCGAGGGGTTCGCCTCCAGGAACATCATTGTGGACCAGACAATTCTTACCTGGAAACCCAGTTCAACCGCTGACCTTCATTATGTTACTGAGCAGTGGTGCTGCTATGTTCAGCTTGTTCTTTGTCAGTGACGTAGCTACTCAGAACAGAACACCCAGTAAAAGTGTTACATATGGTACACAACTAAGAACTCTTTGGCAGAAAGCCTCCATGCAAAAGCAGCCATTGCATAGTCTTTATTAAATTCAGCACAAGAAAGGGAATTAAGTAGCACAAATGGCACCAACAAACACACATAGCACCATTCATCAAAAAGAAAAATGTATTGGCATAGATATAAGCAACTGAAGACAGGGAGCAATTGACAGAAGGAACCGGCGGATTGACCTTTGGCATGTTCTTCTTCAGCAGCACCACGACTTGATCTTGATGGACAGTGGCGGCCCTGCTGGCATGAGAACTTGGAAGGATCATCCCAGTGCTCTCCTCCGTTGCAATGATGATGATCCACCCTCTGCAGTTTGTCTGCCAAAGTCTCCATCCCCATGTAGTATAATACAATAGGAGCCAGACATAGGTGAGGTACTCCACGCCTATGCCCAGACCCTTGGCATACAGGTACCCTTATGCAGCCATAGTTTGCTCTCTTCACAAATCAACAAGAAAGCAAACCCCAACTTTTCACATAGCTTGTGGGAGACCCCAAGTAGAACAGAATCGACGCAACAGATGATGCAAACTTAGTTTTAGCATACAATTGCGTATTCTTCATGATGATGACCAATGAACAGAGCTAACCAGAAAATACAACTCATAATTACTGCAATTCATATTTTTCAACACATGATGTTTTGAAGGTTATTTGAATTCGTATTACAATTACAATTTCTAGATTCTAAAGTCACAATTTTCACTCTGATATTTCCCCTCATTATCCACTGCAATAACCTTTTTTTTCTTTTTGAAACAGAGGCAAAAGATTTGCCTCATCGATTAATTAAGCAGAAGAGAATTGCCAGGTTAACTGCAATAACTATGATGATACAGGTAGAGGATATTACTGCTGATGCTGAGTGTAAACTTACTGGAAATGGCACGTGGAACATTGGAACTGATATTGAACTCACACATACCCCAGCCCATACTGAAGGAAGAAATTTAACTCGACAGATGAAATTAGTTGAACAATTACATCGCCCTCTGCATGTTCCGGATAAAGGGGGAGGTAGGCTTCAAGATAAGAAACACAAGTTAGATATAGGTCCTCAGCAGGTTAGGAAGGCTAGGAGAGGGAGGGTTCTATACCTGGTTGCTTGCCGTACACCAGAAAGAGATTCAAATTGTCTGGTTCTTCCGATTTTGCTATGTCACAATTATGCCAGTAAATAGAACCTTTAGCGATTTGTACAGCAGGAACAGTTCCAAATACTTGCTGCTAAAAACGGACCCTGCCTTTCCAACGAACAACATAAAAGCTTAGTATATTTTTCCAATAAAACAACAGAATCAGAAGTTTAAGAAAATCTGGAGTGGACACAGTAATAATGTTGCACAAACTGGACCGCATAAGGAAGTTATTGGACCTATAATTCGAGTGTTTTTTATACCTTGCACCAGTCCTGCCTTGTATGCAAGCCCATTCAAACACTGCAAAATATATAAACCACCAAAATTCCTTTATGATCTTAGGTCGAGCTGCTATTTTTGAGCTGTCTCTCCAGGCCATGGCTAACAACTCCAGTATGAAGATGTACAGTCCAAGAATTCAGCTTATTGAGTCTCCTAGTAAACTACACAAGCTAGGAGCAATTTAAGATCTCAAACCTCACAAAAAATGATTTCATTTCAGAATAAAGGGACCAGGAGGTATGCAATCCCAGCAAAATACCAATGCTACTGTTCTTAGCATTTTGTCAACACCATGTACTTAAATACAGTGTATAAAGCTCGGTTTCTCGGAAATAAGAAATGTATAAGGCTGGAATATGCTGATATGAAGTTGTACCTTGTTTATTAAAGTATCAAGTAGTACATCGAACATCTGCTGACAATGTATATATAAGGCTTGAATGCTCAAGACTGAACACTGAAGACTTACAAATTTGTTGCAAATGGACACTGATTACCACAAATTGCTCTTTTCACAGATCAACATGAAAAGAAAACCTCAACTTTACATAGCCAGTGAAGTAACATAGGATGGAAAGTTGATTTCAACATATAAACAATCCCATATTCTAGATGATGGCCAGTGAACAAAATTGCCCTCTCCACTGGAAATTACACTTCTGAATCCGCAGAAAGAATGATGCTCCAGACTTCATGGTACAGAAAAAGAAGCCCCCAGAAAATGGAAAAAACAACAGCTTGCATTGTATACTCATTACTGTTACATAAGGTACAAAACTGAAGAGTCTTGGCCAGAGAAACCTTCACTATTGTAGCAACGCCTCCAAATATTCATCAACATATGCCAAACATGGCCAATGATCTGTTCTTATCCTGACCAATGTGGAGGCATAACCTACTTCCATTGAGAAGAGGAGGTGATACCTGGGCGGCAGGAATATCAGAATGCTCACGACACCCATATCCCTCTTGCTTAGATGAGCAAACCTCTGCGCGCCTATCCCAATTTCGTCATCATCGATGTGCTGAAGCTGGAGATTGTTTTCCATGGAGTATGGAACCAATGCATCAGCACCAACAGCAGCATCTGAGTCACTTTCTTCCCACACGACATTCTCAATGACTCCATTGCCTCTTAGAATGGTGATAAGTGAACGCCCAGCAACACTGACAACAAAGGGAGCCAGGTACCTCTCAAGAGCTCCTATCAAAACCTTTGGAGTCACCTCAAGAAGCTTGACCGACCGGGTTCCACTGATCGCAGCTAACCCTTTCCCTCCACTCAAAGGGAAGGTCTCACGGCCTGTGTTAGAGGAACTGTTACAGGCCTCCCACAGAGCATGGAACAGGTCCTGGTAATACTCAGTTGTACCATCTATCGGAGTATCAGGAGGTACACTGGCCTTCAAGAACATGTCCTCGATGCCAACTGTAATGGGCTGAAGAGAACCACATATGACTTGGCAGTTCTCTGTGTTTGCTGCGATTTCGACGTCAATAAGACCAGGTGATGGCTCTCGAGGCTCCAGTTCTATCATTACTGATGCACGGTAACTTGATTCTTCCTGCTGGCAGTTATCTACGGGGACAATGTCCACACCGGAAGCTGGAGGCTCACCCAAAAGGAAAGGCACATGACATGAGGGAATTTTTCCAAACTGTGCACTGGATGACAAGGTAATTGTCACTGCATAAAGGGCAGGCAACTCATCTTCCCCTTCAGAACTTGGAACAGGTGAATCAGATAACCATGCTCTGTTAAATGGCTCTGAATCAAATCTAAATGTGCAGTGTATTTTGACTTTGAGACCGCCAGATGAGTGC